CAGGATGAGTTCTGTTATCTGTCATTCTGTCTTCACTCTTTGTACCCTGCTCCTCTGTTCTACTGCACAGGTCACCTAATAAAAGCATAGTTTTACCCACTGTGAGCAATTTTTGTCTTGTTTCTGTAAATTACTGATTAARTTTTTGTTTGTAGCTGCTAGTGCCTCTTCTCAGTGAGGTTAAAATACAAGTTTCTCTTTAGACCATACTAAACACCTTTTTTTCACTTAAGCCTTGTCCATAGCMCAATATTAATATTTTTACCACAGTGTAAACTAGTTGCAGATATGAACTATCATTCTCTCTATTACTCATTTCCACGGTTTGTTAATCTTTGTCAGTAGCACATTAAATAAATAACTGTCTGTCTATCTATTTCAAAATACTTTGCCTGTGGTGATTGCTCATGTTGCTTTGGTTTCTCCCACCAGAGTTACACTGTGCAAGTCTGTTGATCTGTCCTTCCTGTAATAAGGATTTCTTCTGTGTGACCATTCTGTCTCAGCAGTGACAAACATAACAAGAAATAAACTCCATATAGATGTTTTCTGTTTTTCTTGGAAGCCCAGCTTGAAACCACTAACATTTTAAGAAAGGTTGTATTGGCAGTACCACACTAATTTATTTATGAAGCATGCAGACCCAGAACAAAAATGGAAATGTTGTGTAATCAGGATTTTTAGTGAAAGAGTATTCTCTTTTACCTGTATTCATGTATCATACAAAAAGTATTTAGAGCTACTTTAAAATTTAAAACTTTAGAAGATGACTCTTTATACTTTCTCTCTTTAATGTTTAAATTGCACTTTAAATAAGYCTATTCTCATTTAGGAACTTGGGACTAAACCTTTCACTAAAAAATGAGTGAATCAATTTTTAATCAGCTACAATAAATTCATATTGTGCAGTAATTAAAAAGTAAAATTAGTGAAGACAATTTAAAATTCATTAACATTCAGTGAAAAAAATCAATATAATCACAAGCAAAATTGCTCTTTCATTTGTTTGAGTTATGCAAAACTGCATTTTGGAAAAACACTTTGCTGGCTAATATGGGAGAAGATCATAAATAAATCTTTGCACACCCTCTTACTGGAATGTTGATGAATCAGTGCTAGCATTCATTAATATGCTTGAATAATTTTAATCCATGAGWGTTGAAATTTGATATAAATCATGTTTTGCATAAAACTGAACTGTTTTGACACTTGGTGGATTTTGTGTTTGCGTCATTGTCCTGGTGTTACAGCAAGTGCATGTCATATATACCTCTAGGTAGTTATGCTTGTAAAAGATTAGAAAGTTCAGTTGTTAAATGTAGTGCTCATGGTTTGGTATGACAGCTATTCAGGTTTCATAATATAAGACAATCTATTTCATAATTTGCTATTTCAACCTTTCTGCAATGGATAGAGTTGACAGTGGAATATGTGAAACTCCTATTATGTTCTCTGTCCTAGAAAAAACTATATTCAGACACCCCAAACCTTGGCAGGACTTTATCGGTTTAACTCTATTAGTTTCGTATTAACATGTTAGGAAAGTTATCAAAAGCTAAAAGATGAAATGCTTGTAAGTTTTCTGCCTGCTTTTCCTTTTTGGTAGAAAAAAACCCAAACCATAGGGGTGAATGCATATGCTAAGACTTCTCCAAGGTCTATGTGAAAAGGACTTTTTTTTTTTAGGGAAAGTGGTGCTAAGCAAAATGACTAGACATTCTTATTCTTGGATAATGCCAGTTAGGTAGGATTTAATACATGCCTCCAAGAAATATAAAACGTCTTCCTTTGCTCTGCTTTTATGATTAACTCAGAGATTTTATGATTGCTAGTGGCTGCTCTTCCATAAGTTCATGTTCCTTTTGCTTTGAACTTTTTAACATCTTTTTCGCTAACAGGGTGAAAAGCTTCCCGAAGTTCTTTAGCAGTCAGAACTTTTTGACCTTTTAAGCATTTTTAAGATGAGTCAGTGCTAAAGGAAACCAGCACAAAGCAGTAAGATGACATGATAACTCGTGCTTTATCTCAGATTTTGATTGACTGTGTTAATTCAAGGTCAATATAGACTATTAAGGCTATTAAGTCAATAAAATTTGATCTGTTCAATATGTGCTTAAATGATTTTCCATTATACTGAGAATTCCAGGTATCTCTATAAATCAGTGGTTTGTAGCAGCTTTTAAACAGGAGATGGGACCAATTCAGCTCACACTGATATTGATCTAACTAGGAAAATTAGTTGGAGTGGAATTTTGAAAGTCTCAGGGAACATGAAATTTGAATGTGTAACCTGAGTGTKTATTGCTTACTATTTTGAAGACATTCCGTCAGCAATACCACACGTTCCACACATGCTGAGAGCCCTCCTGAGATTTAGTGCCTCTGTCAGGTGTTTCCTGTGGTCACTTGTGCATGTGTAGCTCCAGTGAGAAGTGTACAGGACTGTGCATTGACAAATTCTGTTACCTGTCCATGGGAAGCACAGTCAGGGCAGTGAATTACAGGTGTGTGTGTATGAGGACCACACCTTATGGCACTAAACCTGTGATATCAATGTCATAGAGAAATTGAGYGCTCCTCTGCTGCTCAGGTAAATCTTCCTTTAGTTTGTTCTTCCTTTCAGCTCTCTTGCAATTTGAGAGGATTCTGTCCCACTCTGGATTGTTCTCCAGTCTCTRTAGCTGTGCTCTTCCCTTGCATTCTCATTACCTGCTCGAATTTGGATGCAGCAGGTCAGCTTAGATTAAAGCAGTACTCTGTGAGCACAAGGGTAACCACTATCTTTGGAAAAATGGATGATCCTCTTAATATAAGGGTCAAGACAACACAGGGCAATTAAAAGGACATATTCATTATATGAGTCATTGAGAATGTAATGAACTGCAAAGTCATGGTGCCTTGGAAGACAAATTTCTCAAATTCAYGTCTGGTAATTAGAGAACAAGTCCCTTCTTCTATTATTATTACCAGGCGGCATTTCTGATTCCACAAGATCTTTTCATAGCACTGAAATTCCCTGAGTAATGCTCAAAACTCACAGCAGATTAGCATTCTGCATTTTGTTCTTCATCACATTTGTCTCAGCAGGGTAACCCAGAAGGGAGATAATGAGTGAATCCTTTTGCCTTTGCAGTGTGAGCAGCAGGATGCGTGTCCCGTGTACAGAGAGCATCCATCAAAGGGAATGCAGGGGGGAGAGGCTGCCTGGCCCTGTCAGCTGCATTCCAAAGGCAGGATTTCTGGGAATGATCCACAGGAGAGAGAGCTCAGGCTCCCCAGCCTTCCAGTGCAGGGTGAGGCCTGGCTSAGGCAAGGTAAGGTCTGGGCTCCCTGGGGTGACACGGTGATGCTGGCCACGGGGTGGGACAGACACCCCATAAACACRTCTGCAGAGCAAGGGTCTGTCTCTGAACACCTGGAAATGAAAAAACAAATACTGCCCTAGGTATATTAGGTGGTGATGTGTAAGGAATAATTCCTATGTTAAAGCAATATCTAAAAAAAAAAAAGTAGGGGAAAACAAACCGTCAAGCCTTAGGCTGCTCTATTTTTTATTTATTTATTTATTTAAAATGAGTTGTTTTTTCTTGAGAACTTCTGTTCTGGAACAGCTCACTCAGAAAATCTAACTTATATAAATGAAGTACAAGATAAAGTCCTGTTGGGCAGTAATCTATGATGAAATTAATACTTCATGGGAGGTATGTTAGGATTAATGCTTAGAAATTGGCAGAGGTGCCTAGATCATTTGGCAAATTTGAAATGCCTCATTTTGTGCAAGTGTATGACAAGACAAATTTAAAGGGAGTTCAAGTGGCAGGTTGCTTTATTTTCATTATGGTATTCTTTTTGTAGTAATATCTTCCTGTATAATATTTAATCTAGTAATTATGCATTTTGGAACAGGTCTAAAGAAAGCCAATTAACTGATGATTGATTAATTAGCAGTTAGGGCTAGGGGTGAGAAGTTCTAGGCATGATAAGGGACTTCCAGTTTCTTCCTGTTTCATAGGTAAATGTATTCTGGTGTGCACTAGCACTTTCTCCGAAAGGGTCTAATACTCTGTGTGCACCTGGACCAGTTTTGTTGTTTGTATTATTCATCACTGAATCTTAAATTACTTGAAAAAAGCTCTAAGACATGCTCTAGGAAGACCTGCTTTCTCCCTACAGTTTGGTTTGGGGTTTTTAGGGATTCTTCTTTAATGGCATCCATCCCCTCAAGGTCATTCTCTGAGGAATCTGTGCACTGGAAAATAAAAGCTTTCCTGGAAGGCTGCTGAGAAGAAACGGAGGCAGACGTTTTGCAGCATGAGATCTGGGAAGCAAATATAGACCAGGCAGGCAATACCATGCCTCATGCAGATGTCTCCTTAATGTAAAGCTATTTTCCTGGCTTATGATGAATAATTCAAGATATGGATTAATTCAGTGGGCAATGAAAATATTTTGCTYCTGAGCTGACAGATTATTGGACCATTGGCTGCCTCTGAAATAGTGCTCTAAAGCCTTTTTGATCTGAAAAGATGTGCTTATTATTTGTGTTTCTCAGGTGGAAGAAGATTCTCCATCACTGCTGCCAATGTGTTCATGCATTATTTCATTCACTGCTKCTCCTGCATGTTTTATTCACTGTGGCTCCTGCCATATATTCCTTCTGTCCATGCTTTCTTGCCTGATCACTCAGGGATGGGCTGGCAACCAAACATTTGTGTATATATCTGTCCCAAGCCTTTGGCTTAGGCATTGCAGAAATCAACATTATTGTGCACCCTGAGTATCTGTAAAGTTGCTGTGTATAGGTCCTGAAAGAAAACCCCACAGAMAAAACAGCATCTTGGACAAAGTGCAGTTGAGTGGCTCAAGTATTGTCAGATCAGTGGCAGCAGATTTGTGTAACATCTGTTACCCAGGCAGAGCATAATGGGAACAGCTAAACAGGAATTAACTGTTTGCAAAGGGTCTGAGGGGCAGTGGTGGCTAAAATCAAGAGAACATATCACTGTGTTTAAATGGTGCTTCTGAGATACTCCGTGTGCTGWGGTGGGTAGGTTGGAAGGTTCCTTACACCTTTTGCATACAATTGAGATTTTTAGTCGTRGTGGTGCTGTCCAGAAGCTGAGAAGGGCGAGAGTGGAGGATCTGCAGCAGTGGGAGGTGGATGGGTGAGCAGCTGTAAGGGCTGGTGGCTGCAGCCCCTGGCTCAGATGCTCTGTGGAACTGTGGCTGGAAAGGTGACAGCCCCTCACCCACTGCTTTTAGCCACCAGCATCAATGTATCGAGAAATCTTTATAATRGATTAATAGGTAACAGAATTTTTGGGAAGCACTTATGACTTCTGATAGGAGACTCATGTGTTCATCTGAATAAAGAAATGGCAGATTCTAGAGAAATGTGCTCAGRGTATTGCAGAGGACAACAACAACGAAACTTCCTGAGAATGAATGGAGAAATGAACAGAAGCCACCACTTGTGCAGCTGGGAGTTTGTTTCTGCTAATTTACAATTCTTTTAACAACAGTTTATACTTACTTTGTGGTTTATTTATATGCTTACATTTTTAAACGAATGAATCTATTTTATTTTTCTTTTGTGATTCTCTCTGACTACAATTACACCGTATAAGATATTTTTTTCAGACTGGTAAGAAACAGGGTCGGTACTGCATAAAAGTGCAAAAATTTGCTTGGGAGTATCATGAAGTGTGAAAGAAAGAATCTCCAGCAGGAAAAGTAATACCAGTGAAACATATGTTTGTGCTTGATAAGTAGAAAAGAATTGTTTCTTCAGTGAGTCACTCTTCTTCTCAGGCATGTGGGTGACAGAAGTTTCACAGTTATGATGTAAAATCCAGAAGACTTTGAACTATTTGCTATAAAAGAGGAAATTCTGCAACTCAGGTTTTTTTTTTTTTTTTTCTGGTGTAGTTATCAGCAGCACACAGTTCAATTATCATGGGCGTTACATAAAACAATTGCTGTATTGGAACTATTTTGGGTACAGATGTAATAATTTCTCTGGAAAGAAAAGGCACATCCTCAGGATCGAATTGCTCCATTTTGTGAGTGAGAAGCAACCCTTGTGAAGTGAAAGAAGCAACCCTTGTAAAGTGAAAACACCTCTGAAAGAGCTGGTCTCAAATCTATTCATATGGCTTGGTTCAACCCCTAGTGAAGTCAGTGAGAAGTCTCTGATTGACACCCTCAAGGAATTAGATGCAACAATGTACATCTCAGCTAAGTGTTYCTGCAAAAAAAGATGGTTATTTAGTGTGAAGAAAATGGAAAATGTCTCTTGTAAACAATGAGTTGGAAATACCAAAACAATTCCAACATTTCAGATCTATAGAGCAAAACACTGCATCCTGTTTATTCCTTTCTGGCTACTTGGACTTACCTCGTCATCTGATCCATTTAACTTGGTGGCACATGGCACTAGGTGTCTTGTAGTTTGGCACTTGGGCTGTTTGACAATATCCAAGCAATGTTTTCCTAAAGGTTGGTAGAATATTTACCATATTAGAATATATAATATTAAAATATCAGGTGTTGAGCCAAGCACAGCATGCCTGCCTGTCGTTAGAGCAGCTATGGAGACTCTCCCCAACACACAGTGCAGAATTCCTAAGGGACATTGTAGACATTCCAGGTTGTGGATGGAAAGGAAATCAGGGCTCAGACACAGCCTAAAGGATGTGTTCATCCTAATGCATTAAGGGGTACAAAAATATCAYGTAAATTCTGTATTGGCAAAGTGATTTGAGTGACTCGTGTGTTGCCCACCTTTCCTCCATGAGCTGGCCAGGTACTCAGGCTAATCCTGCCTTCTTTGAGCAGCAGCTTCTAATGAGGCATCACAAAGGTTTTATTTCCTGGTCTCCCTAGGCAAGATGATGAGCTCACATCCCTGAGTGGGAATCTTTGGACAGTTCAGACCCAGTGCTTGCTTTTCTAATCATTGATCTGGCTGAGTGACAGGCAAGAAAAAGGTCAAAACTGACCTGCCATTGTTTCTTACATTTTAACAAAGCTGAAAATGGAGATRTTTTCTATTCTCAGCTTCGAAGATCAAAGTACCTGTTCAATAACTTCAAGTTCTGCCATCCCTTTTTGATCTGTTATCYTTTAGTTGCCTTGAAGGTAATCAATTCTTATCATAGAAGCCCCAGTCTYAGTGTGATGCCTGACATTGTAAAATTGCTTAGCAAAATTACTGAGCTCAGTGGGCTCTATTTCTCTTGTCTTTATACAGACAAATGCTGTTGGCCCCCTAACCTGGACTTGGATCAGGCTGAAAAGGCAAAGCTTCTTTACCTTCCTGAATCCATGTCCTGTGCAATCATTTATTGGAGATTTTTACCTCCTTTCCTGAGAGTTAATATGAAAGCTCTTGCTTTATCATTTCTTTGCTGGCCCAAAATATGTCTTTAATTAGGATTTTAAGATACGATGCTAAACATTTGAGGTTAGTAAAATTCTGGGACATGTTGATGAACTAGAAAATGGAGATAAATGATGTCACCTTTAATAAATGCATTCSAAAATGTAAAGGATAGCTACACAGTTGATGCAATCAAGCTTTTCCAATGTAATAGTGTTTTTAACAAGATTTGGGGCCCAAAATTGACATAGCTGTAATTAAAGTTCTGCATGCTGAGCTACCATGGCATGCATACATCTCTTATTAAGTCTGCTCTACCAAAAAGTTGAAGAAATACACTCTGAAATGTATATTTTTTCAAAGTCAAATATATTTATTGCATGTAGGGATATCAGCACTCAGATAGCTCCTGCAGGAAATGTGACTGGAGTTGGSAAATTAAMMAWTTWMYWAAAAAACTTCTRTTTCATTTGTTATCTGCTGGCAATYATTCACCTCTGTGKTTTTTTTTCTGTTGCATTTATGAAGCTCTGATTAATATGATATGAAATGCTATTCTGCTTATGATATCTGAAAGAAAATAATACTTATAGTGTGAATGCATTTCTGTATCCATCTTTCTGTAACTTTCTACCCTCTTATTTCATTCCCTAGTTTGCAGAAACTTATTTKCTGTTCTGTCCCCTTCCATTTCACATTTTCTCTGCTATGCCTGCTTTCTTATTCTGCATAAATAACCATTATGCTCTGCAGTCATCTAACTTCATTTATATTAGGAATTAATACAAGATACCTCCAGGCTGTCTTCTCACTCGCCAGAACAAAAAAGGAGACTTGCTTCAGCTCCTAATGAATCATTCCTTTTTGGGGCAATACAAAGTGCAGTTCACTGAAATTCCATTAAAATCTTAGATATCCATTAAAAGTGCAAGT